CTCTCACTGTTGTAGTCTCTCCCGTTGCAGAGCACAGGCTCCGGACGCACAGGCTCAGCGGCCATGGCTCACGGGCCCAGCCGCTCCGCGGCACGCGGGATCCTCCCGGACCGGGGCACAAGCCGGTGTCCCCTGCATAGGCAGGCAGACTCTCAACCACTGCGCCACCAGGGAAGTCCAGCGCCATTTATTCTTGCTCTCACTGGACAAAAACAGCGCTCACAATTTGATAACTACGTTTAAACTATACACATGTTATGACAGAGCCGAGAAAAGTGTCAGAAGACCGCTAAGACCTTTCTACTCACAGCACACTTGCCTAGGAAATGGCAAAACTGAATTGCGAAGCTGGCGAGTATCTAAGAGGTTTGAATGGCTCCAGCAAAACAGTACCTCCCGGGACCTAAGACTCTTTTCTGACCAATGAACAGTGGGACTTGTGTTAATTAACTGTGTGGGGACTTGACACTCATCCTGCCCTCTCTAAGGTGCTCACTTCAATCCTTAACTGGCACAACTACAGTCAACTTCTTCCTGGCACATAACGAACGTAAACTGTCCCTCTAACAGGACCATTTGGCAAGGCTGCTCACTTGTGTGTTTCCTCATCTGGCAAGTAAATCAATGCCTTTGCGTTTTCAGTCACTCTGGTGGTTTTCTTTCCTTCAACAAATTTAAAGTGGAAGTTACGGCTGTAGTTGGCCTTATCATGTTATTTTCATGCCTTTTTTTTTTTTTTCCAAAACATGGTTTATCACTTGCTACAATTTGCTGTTTTCCAACACAGAATACATGTCCTTACATTTTTATTAGCTTATCATTTGAAAATACCAAACAAAAAAAGAAAGTTATGGGAAAACCATAAATCCTATCTCTAAATCCTGAATGCGTGAGAAGATAGAAAATTGTAACAAAATAACTTCTGGAGATTCTATAAGTAACACTTTTACACAGAAAGGGATAATAACGACACTATTATAATGGAAAGCTTTTAATATACTACAAATTATCTGAGTGATGTTACAATGTTAATTTCTTTATCCAAAATTAGGAAACATTTAAATAGAAGGCACTGGAATTTCTAATTAGTTTCCTTTGGTTCTTTCCTAGCTTTACTCCACATCCTGCGACCCCTAAACCCCACCTGACTGACTTCTACACTTGTGCTCACATCCTGAGCAAACGCTCCCTCCTGTCGTGTTTCCTGACCAGCCTCAAACTTCTGGCTCAACCAACTGTTCTCCAAGTACGTCACACTCAGGTCTAGTACAGCATTTGTCATGCTTTATTCTGGTTAATTACACACATGTCTGCTGTTCTACTAGGATTTTGTGTCTTGTAAGAGCGCAGGCTTCTGTCTGATTTATCTTTGGATCCCTCATAGCATCGGGCGTCGTTCCTGGTAAGTACTGTCTTGGTGATCATTAAATCTGCTTGCACTGTATGAAATTTTGTTAGAAGATAGTGTCATACATGATGCCATGGATTTTCTTAAGCTCCACAACTCTGCTGTGATGTCCTACCTGAATTTCATACGTTAACGTGTATAATGTGCGTGTGTGCGCCTGTGTGCACGCGCATGTGCTTACAAGTCTGAAATTTGAATGTACTGTAATTCATAGACAGCCATCAATAGTTCATTACATAAATCGCTCAGCATTTAATTAATGAATGACATGTGATCAGCAAACTTCTCATGTCCCATAAGTGATTATATTTGATGAAAGAAATGAAAACAAAATCATAATTTAAAAATCTGGCATTTTTCTTTGTTAAAAAATATGAATAGTAATCCAGGACACACAGAAAGCAATTGATAAATGAGTAAATTAATGAATAACCGGGCAATTCTTAGGCCTCATAGCTTTCCTTACTGATATAATTTCCCACGATACAAATTCTAATTTCTGCTTACTTTGGATTGAAATAGCTTTAAGTATTCATATATTTAATTAAGCACAATGTTTCATCAGAGAAGAAAAAGGGGGATGATCTAAAACTAGACTAGAGATCTTCCTTATAAATGTACAGTATGACACGGGGGACAAACAGTCTTGGACTTTGATGGCTCTAGCTTCAAATCTTAGCTCAGTCACTGAACTGGTTGGTGACCTTGGTAAAAAAAAAAAAATCTAATCTCCCTGAACCACAGAAATAAAGATTATATTGAACATCGTGAACATTAAATAAAACAACGGCTGTCAAGTTGTAGGTAGAGTGACTATTACACTGAGGCCCTCGATTAATTGAGGTCTTTTAGTTATTATATCTCTTTGTCTGTCAAATTCTGGGTTTGGGGCTTACACACCTTTGGTCCCAGGAAAGACTGATGCAGAATTTGTGAGAGCTGCTGAATCCTCGCTAGGCTTGAGGGCATCTTCTACTTTGGTCAAGTCAATGGAGGTAATAACTAAGCTTACACAGCAGCTCAGAGAGGCAGACACAAAACCAAAACAAAGTAAACCTTGAGGAGGGCAAAGTAGGCAAGAGGTGTGAGTGGAGACAAGCTTTGCTTCCCTGTGTCAGCCAGAAACCCAGCAGCTCGTTGCTTAGTTACTCACCCTGACTCGTAACCTGCTAGAGCTGGGAAAGAACGGCAAGGAATCCTGGCTTCGCTAGTAAGAAACCCAGGCTTAGGGGCAAAATAACGGGTCTGGCGGCCCACAGCTGGCTGGGGCTATATCTGGGACAGGGCCCAGCTTTCCTGACTCCCTCTTCCAAGCAGCCACACCTCTCCTCGCCTGCTCAGGGGAAGGCGGTCAGGCCAGCTCGGACACTGATCGGCTACAAGTGCAGAGATCTCCCAGGGGACACGCACCGAAACGCTCACGGGCATGCACACTTCTAACTTCTAGCGAGGGCCTGCTCTCCCTGCCCGTCTGCCCCCGTCCGCTCTCTTGCCCTAGTGTCTGGGGCTAGGACGTGTGCGATCCTCAAGGGCTCTTACTCTCCCTCTGGCCACGGGCCTGGATGAGAAGCCAGCCGGGGGTCTGCTCTGCGTTCACTTCCCATGAGCGCCCCTGGATCACGCGTGGCCTTTGAAGGCGGCGAGGCATCCCCAGCAGGAGGCAGCCGTGCCCATCTTCCCGCATGGGCCTCCACAGGCGGGCAGGGCCCACGTGTTAATAACCACCCCTGACAGCAAGAGCCGCCGTCACCTCATAAGGGCCCGCTCCGTGGGGAGTCGTGTGCAGAGTGATTTACAGCATTACCTCCTTCAACCCCCACATCACCTAGAGCGTAGGGCTTACTTTCTTCATTTTACGGATTTACAGATGAGAAAGTTAAGGTCAAGTGATGTACCCAAGGTTATGCACTGCAGGGGCAGAAATGACTTTCAGACACAGACGCCACACTCTTCACAGTTATGCCACCACCTTTCCTTTTGGCAGAGCAAACAAAGAGTGTTTTCTCCAGTTCAGGGGTCTTTAAAGTAAACGCCCTCCTTTCACGAACAGCTACACCTTCCACTAAGGAAGCCCAGTTTTGAATCATTTAATGGCATTATTTTTCTCACACACATATCAAACCTTCTGTAGGGAAGAGAATCAGTAGAGGCCAGGGAAAGACTTGAATTCCTCTTAAAGGTTAGACTTTGCCGTTTATACTGAGGAAAATTTAGTTATTCTTTATTCAGAAATGACTCTATCTCCACCTTAAACGGCTTTCCTAAAAGGTCCAGGAGCTCTTGCTAAAAAAAAAAAAACCCATGATCTTCTTTTTAAAAATTCATATGGAGGGGAAATGGTTTCTTTTATGTTTCTTTTTGTTAAATGGGTATATGGGAAGAAATAGGTCAAAAATGTATAAGCGAACATCCTCTCTCTCTCTCCATGCGTGTTGTGTGTGCATACGTGTGCAAGAATATATATACTGTATACATCCTTCTCACTAGAACACCTGTCACTCTGCTTCGTTAAAGCCAATGCTCTGTAACTTCATTTGGCATCTGTTAGCACCAACTAAATTACCAGCTGAGGTGCTGGCGTCTGTGAGTTTTACGTGGGATGAGACGGGCTGCCCTCAGTAAAGAGGACGTCGTCTGATAAACCAGGAATCCACAGACACTCAAGTCGTTTACCAAAAGAAATCAACTTTCGTATGTAATTGGATTTTTGGTTCTTAGTTCCAGGAAATAAGTCACCTTATGGTTGGAGGACAGTGACGTTAAATGCATTTGTTAAAACTCTTTACGACACACACATTACCGGTTTCCCTGGCATGGCTTATCTTACCTTGATCTTTTGGTGGTACTGATGAAGCACTCTGCATTATGATGTCTTTGACTTGAACAACAATTTGCCTAAAAATAACCAAGCACAAATAATAATTAGAAAATAATTGAGATGCCACGTTAACACAAACGAAAAATATAAATTACAAGCTTTTTATTTATAACTATATGAGTAATAAGGAATGGACTGAACTATTGGGAAACTGAAGTTTTTATTTTCCTTCTAGTTTTTATACAGACAGGCTTTCACTGAATGCACTGGTGTGGGCTTGGGGAGGGAGCAATGACACACTGAGAGGGCCCTGTATCTGCCTCTCTGCCCTCGTAGGGTCAGGGAAATGTGCAAGTAGGCAGTTAGGGTTCCCTAAAATGCCCTGCCTGATAATTATGTTTTATAGATTCTGCTTAAGAAATAACTAAAATGTTTAACAATATAAGTAAAGGCAGTATAACTGCAATATAATCATTTGATGAAACATAATTCAGTCATTAAAATGCAATTTTGAAGATTCCGTCGCAACATGGAAAATGGTGATGATACAATATACTAGGATGCACACACCAAACGACATACACACGAGGATAACAACTACACAAAAAACGAAGGCACAGAAAAATGCAAGACAGGAAATATGTTAACATGGATATTAGCCTTGTTCTTGGTGATATAATTACAGGTGTTTCCCCTTCCATTTTAGCTACTTTCCAAATTGTCTAGAATACGGGGTTCCATATTAATAAACTATTTGAATGTATAAGACAATTAAAGTCCTTGAAAAAATACAGGTAAATATTTTTGTAAGCCTTCAAACACGGAAGTGTTTCTAAGCACGACGCCAAAGACAGAAGCCATTAAGGTAAAGACTGATGAATTTTTCCATTGAAAATTTTAAATGTTTTTAAAATAGAAAACTAGGTAAAATAAAAGGGCATGACTTCTGCTTCCAGCCAAGACTGAACAACAGAGACCAGGTTTGCCCTCCTTCCTGAAACAACCAAGACACAGACAAAATACACAAAACAATATTTCAAAACACTGGACCTTAGGTGACAAAGACTGATCTTTGAGAGACAGGAAACAAATGAGGTGAACGCTATCATCTACAGTGCAGGAAGGGAGAAAGCTGGTGGAAATTCCCAGAGTAATGAAGAAAAGAGCTGGAGAGAGAGAGAGAGAGAGAGAGAGCGAGCAATGAATAGGATCCCATCAAGTATTCACAGGAATACTGTCTGTTCTTACAAGTCAGACTGAAAAAACTCCTAATTCACAGAACGCTGGGTACAGTACAAAGAATAATCTTGCTTTAATAAAGGGGAAGAATTGGTCCTACATCAAACATTTCTTTGGTTTCACAAAACAAATCTTAAAGCAAGACCTAAAAGGATCAAAGCGTTTCCAAGTGTCTCACCTGTGTATTTAGAACACGGCTCAAGAATATTTATAGAAAGAGAAAAATATCCATCACCCAAGAAAGTAAAAGCCAGAGTGTCTGACACCTAATAAAGAAGTGTAAGCAATACAGAGAGGCAGGAAATATGAGCCATAGCGTAGAAAATAATAAAAACTGACCCTGAACTGACACAGATGTTAGGATTACCACACAAGATCACTAGATGTATAACTATTTCATATGTTCAAAAAGTTTAGACAGGAAAGACATAAAAAAAGACCCAAATAAAATTTCCAAAGATGTAAACTACAATATATAAGGTAAAAAATACACTGGATAGGATTATCAGCATATTAGGCATGTCGGAAGAAAATACTAGTGAACTTGCAGGCATAGTAATAGAGACTACCCAAAATGAAACTCAGGAAGAAGAGAGCAAAAGAAGAATGAACAGATCACCAGTGGGCTCTAGGACAACTTTAAGCAGTCTAGTATATCAGTAACTGGAGAAGAGAGAGATGGAAAATCAGAAAAATTATTTTAAGAAAATAGTGGCAGAAACTTCCAAATTGGAGTAAAGCTATGAACAGATCCAAAAAGCTCAAAAAAACTTAAAGCATAAGAAACATGAAAACTACACCAAAGCATATCATGACCAAATGGCTCAAAACGAGTGAAAAAAGGAAAGATTTAAAGTGAGGCAATGCAAGTAAGAAGACATTAGGGCAGCATCTTTAAAGTACTTGAAGAAAAAAAGATCTGTAATTTAGAATTCTATGTTCACAGAAAGTATCTTTCAAAAATAAAGGAGAAATAAAGGCATTTTTGTATACACAAAAGCCAAAGGAATTCATCACAAGCCCACCCGCACTACAGGAATGTTAAATGATGACCTTTAAGTAGAAGGAACATGATATTAGATTAAAATATAGATCTATATACAGAAAGGAAGATTTCAACACTAGAAATCAGAACTACATGATAAGCATGTAAGGCGTTTTTCTTAATAAAATCTCTTTAAAATATAATGGTTTAAATAAAAATAATTAACACTGCATTGTGGGGTTTATAACATATGTAAAAATAAAATGTATGAGAATTTCAGGACAAATGTAGAGAGGGGAGAAATGTAAGTATACTATTGTAAGGTTCTTTAGACTACAGGTGAAGTGGTATAGTATCACTGGAAGCTAGATTATAAGTTAAACATGTATATTATACACCCCAAAGCAACAACTAAAATCACGAAACAAAGAATTTTATCTAATACGCCAACAACAAAAAGATGGAATCATAAATATACTCAGTTTTCAAGGGAAAACAGGAAAAGAGAACAAAGAATAGGTAGAATAAATGGAAAACAAAAAGCAAGATGATAGATTAAAACCTAAACATATCAATAATCATATTAAACATAAATGATCTAAATATCCCAATTAAAAGATAGATTGGACAAAAAAGCAAGACCCAACTATATGCTGCCTGTAAGAAAGGCACTTTAAATATAAGGACACAAACAGATTACAAGTAAAAGAATGGAAAAAGATATATCATGTTAGCACTAGTCAAAAGAAAGGTGGTGTGGCTATATTAGTATCAGAAAAAGCAGATTATAGAGCAAAGAATATTACCAGGCATAACGAAGGTCATTTCATAATTATAAAAGGACAACTCATCAAAAGGCTACAAAAATCCTAAATGTTTATGTCCCTACTAACTGAGCTTCAAAATACATAAAGCAAGACCTGATAGAACTGCAAGGAGAAATAGAGAATAATTAATAACCAATAATCGATAAAAGAAGCAGACAGAAAATCATTAAGGACTCTGGAGATTTGAATGACGCTATAAACCAATTTTACCTAATTGACATTTATAGAACATTCCACCCAATACAACAGAATACACATTGTTTTCAAGTGCACACGAAGTATTTATTAAGGCACCATATTCTGGGTCATAAAAACAAGGCTCAATACACTTAAGAGGATTCAAGTCATAATGTATATTCTCTGAGCACAATGGAATAAAAGTAGAAGCCAAAATCACAGAAATGTATCTGGAAAGTCTCCAAATATTTGTTAACTAAATCACACACCTATAAATAACCTATGGATCAAAGAAGAAATCAAAAAGAAAATTAGAGTGTGTTTTGAACTGAATGAAATGCAAACATAGCATACCAAAATTTGTATGATTCCATTAAAGCAGTACACAGGGGGTAATTTAGAGCACTAAAAGCATCTATATTAGAAAAGAAGGTAGGTCTCAAGCCTCAGTTTCCACCTTAAAAAATAAAAAAATAGTACAATTAACCCAAAGTAAGTAGAAGAAAGGAAATAAGAGATCAGAGAAAAAATAAGTGAAATGGACAACAGAAAAATAGCTAAAATCAATTAGATCAAAAGCAGATTCTTTGAGAATATATAAAATTGATAAACTTTTAGCTCAACTGATCAGGAGAAAGAAGACACAAATGACCAGTATCAGGAATGAGAGAGGTGTCATCACTACAGACTACCACTATTAAAAAGACGTAAGGGGGCTTCCCCAGTGGCGCGGTGGTTGAGAGTCCACCTGCCGATGCAGGGGTTGCGGGTTCGTGCCCCGGTCCGGGAAGATCCCACATGCCACAGAGCGGCTGGGCCCGTGAGCCATGGCCGCTGAGCCTGCGCGTCCGGAGCCTGTGCTCCGCAACAGGAGAGGCCACAACAGTGAGAGACCCGCGTAGCGCCAAAAAAAAAAAAAAAAAAAAGACATAAGGGTCCATTACAAACAACATTTTGACAATAAATTTGATAATTTAAATAAAATGAACAGTTACCCTGAAAGACACAAACTACCAAAGCTCACTCAAAAAGTGAGCCCTTATGTTTTCAAAGAAATTGAATGTTTAGTTAAAAATCTTCCCTTAAGGAACTCTAGGCCCAAATGGTTTCTTTGGTGAATTGTACTGAATATTTAAGAAAGAAATAAAACCAATTAATACCAATTATACACAAAAATAATATTTAAGGAAGAAATAATACCAATTATACACAAATTCTTCCAGAAAACTGAAAAGGAGGGAATTCTAAGTATCTAATTCTATGAGGCCAGCATTATCCAGAATCCAAAATCACTCAAGAAGCCACTGGAAGGAAAGAAACCTCCGGACAATATCCCTCATTAACAGAAATGCAAAAATTATAAACAAGATGTCAGTAAATCAAATCCAACAATATTAACACATCCTGACCATGTAGGGTTATCCCCGGAATGTACACGTATTTAATATTCAAAATCAATGTAATTCACCATATTAACAAAGTAAAAAAAGAAAAACTATGCGATCATCTCAATAGATGCAGAAAATGCATGTGACAAAATCCAACATTCATTCCTTTAAAAAAAAATCTTTTAGAAAAGTAAGAATAGAAGGAAACTTCCCCAACTTGGTAAAGGACATCTATGAAAAAACCTATGGCTAACATCATGCCAATAGAGAAGAAGTGAATGCTTTCCCTCTAAGTTTACAATTAAGAGAAGGATATCTACTCTCACCAATATTGTATTGGAAGTTCTAGCCAATGCAGTAAAGCAGAAAATGAATAAAATGCATCTTCACTGGAAAACAAGACATAAACTGTATTTGCAGATGGCGTGATTATCTACATAGAAAATTCAATGGAATCTATA